TTTTTTTTTTTTTTTTTTTTTTTTAAGACAAGGTTTCACTCTGAAGCCCAAGCTGGCCTTGAACTTATAGTAATCCTCCTCTGACACCTGAGTGCACAGCACGTGGGTGAGCTACCACACAAGCTTGGCTTTGAACTATTGCTTCTCCTGCCTTAACGTCCTAGGTACTAAGATTAGAGGTGTGTGCCACCACATCCTGGCTGGAAAAACCGCAGTTAAGGAGACACTAATTTTTACATCTAATTTTGTTGTCTTCTCCATGATTTAAAAATCCACCAAACCAATTAACATATACATTAACCATGGTTGTATGTATCCAGAGAGAGCGATGGGAAGGGGAATCCCTACCGAGGTAGAGTATAGCAAGAATGAAGTGGCTAAGAAATACGCTTCAAATCACATTTGCTTATATCCAATGAGTGGTCAAATGAGGACTGACCAGAAAAAGATATTTAACTGTACAGAGGTGATTTAATTCTGTATACAAAGAGGGGCTAGAGAGATACCTCAGAAGTTAAGAACATTGGCTGTTCTTCCAAAGGGCTTGGGTTTGATTCCTAGCATCCATATGGTGGCTCACAACAATCTCTAACTCTAGTTCTTGGGGATCAGATGCCCTTTTCTGGCCTCCTTGGGCACTAGGTATACACACAGACACATATGCACCAAAACACTCATCTACATAAATAATAATAAAGAAATTTAAATACAATGAGGAAGACATGAATAACTTTAGAAAATAAACTAGTAAAGCTGTAAACAGGAAGTGCAATGGGAGAGCTCAACGGAAATCACGTGATTCCTAGAAGTGTTGCAGCTGTCAAGTACTGGCCTGAGCAATGTGTCTCCACAAATCACTTGAAAAGTGAAGTGCCTTGAACTTGTGCCTATAAGGGAAGGATCAGCTGAGGTTGGAATACTCATGGACTTTGTGTAAGCCCTTCATTTTGTAGATAAGGAATCAAAATGATCCACCTTAAAGTGAAATTTATTTGGACCTTCAGTCATTTAAATTTTGAGTGTTACTATGTTCCGCAGCAGATGAGTCAGAAAATTCTGTGCCCTTGTTGAATCTCCATTCTAGGGAGAGCGAAGGTAGAATGCTAATACACAGGGAATGAGGAAATCTTAGGCTTTCAGGGAGCAATAAAGTAACTAAAGCAAGGCGAGGAGCAGAGGAGAGAAGAGTATTTGGGGTATGAAATGACAGAGAAGGATTAGATACTATCAGAATGGCCAAGGTCTCTCCACAAACACGACACATTAAGTCGGGGTTGAGGGTATATTTTGGAGTGCAAGTATTTCAAACAAACATTGATAATGATAATCCTAAGGAAAATCTGTTACTCTTGAAGAAAAGCAAAGTGGCCAGTAAAGCTAGAGCCAGCTAGAGCCAGCTAGAGCCAGCTAGAGCCAGCTAGAGCCGAGCATGCAGGAGGAGGAGGATGACAGGAGACACAAAGAAGCAGCGGGAATCGATGATGTCTGGTCCTGCAGGCAGTGGTAAGAATACAAAGCTTTTGTTTTGTTTTGTTTTTCAAGGCAGGGTTTCTCTGTGTAGCTTTGGCACCTGTCCTGAACCTTGCTCTGTAGATCAGGCTGGCCTTGAACTCACAGAGATCCGCCTGGCTCTGCTTCCCGAGTGCTGGGATTAAAGGTGTGTGCCACTGCCGCCCGGCAAGAATACAAATTTTATTCCAGTACAACAGGAAGCCATTGAAGGGCTTTATTCAAAGGGGTAACCAAGTTCACGTATGTTTTCAAACATTATTATGGCTACCATACTGAACAAACTGTGAAAGAGTAAGATGCAAGCAGAAGGCCACTGTGCAAGCGGATGAATGCTTGGTCAGGGGAGGAAGTGGAGACTGTACAAAGCTAATGGGTTGAATGCAAAGTATGAGAGGAGACAAGGCTCGCAGATGCCTCCCAATTAAGTGTCTAAGCAACTGGGGGACGCAAATACCAATCAGAGAATTGGGGGGAAACTGGGGGTGAGATGCAGGAAGCAGGTTTTAGGAGAAATATTAAGAGTTCTAAATTAAGCTTGGAAACATCATGCAACTGGGCATTCTGGAGCTTAGACACATGTCTAAAACATGGGGAGATTAAGACTACCCAGAAAGGGGAGGTGGAGCGAGCACAGACGAGAAGTCCTACTTTCCAAGTCCTTTCCTCCAGTGTTTTACATGCTGTATAGTACTACTGTCTTTCATAAATCAACATTGCTCACATAACAGAAATGTTTAAAGGGAAGGAGTGCTGAAAACAAAATCGGCAACACCCAGAGCAACCACAAAAACCCTCAGTCATGCAAGCAGCACACAGGGGATTTGAAGGAGAGCA